CCCCTAATTCTCATTTGGTTCATTTATAACATTGATTGCTTTCTTGAGATTTTCTATTTTTTTTTTCATTTGTTTCAAGGTAATGTGTAATTGCATGTTAGAACAGTTTTATAATGGATGCTCTAAAATCCTTGTCAGAGAATTCCATTATCTAATTTACCTCAGTATTTGTGTCAGTTGATTGATTGTCTTTTATCATTCAAGCGGTGATTTTCCTGGTTCTTGGTATGTTGGGTGTTTTTTTTTTTATTGTATCTTGAGTACTTTGACCATTATGTTAGGAGATTTTTGGTTTTATTTGAACCTTTTTATTTTACCAGGCAGGCACACAGGTCTTGGCCTACATTTATTGGTTGTGTTCCAGTGGTACTTTCTGGTGGTATTTTAATTTTCAAATCATTTGTAGTGTATTTTAATTTGCTTGATTTATTTGGGCTAGTGTCTCTATGTGGGAAAACAGATTTTCCATCTTTCAGGGATGAATAGCACACTTACTAAGCTGTGCACATATAGTGTCTTGATCACTTTTGCTGGTGTTAATCAAGCTCTCTGATTCTCTAAGTGGGGGAAAGAATTCTCTGACCTACAGAGACAAAGAGGCTTTCCAGAGGATGCCCGGGTGGCTCAGCTGGTTGAACAGCTGCCTTCCGCTCGGGTCATGATCCCAAGGTCCTAGGATCGAGTCCCCCATCTGGCTCCTTGTTCAGCAGGGAGCCTGCTTCTACCTTTGCCTGCCATTCCCCCTGCTTGTGCTCTCTCTCTCTCTGATGAATAAATAAATAAAATCTTAAAAAAAGAGGCTTTCCAGGTCAAACTACTTTTTGTGGCATCTCCCTTGGTATTACTGCTTAGTATCTCCACCAAGGGAGGAAAGGTTCAGGCACAACAGAGTAGGAGAGCACTTCTCTGGTTGCCTTATTGTCACTGAGGTTTCCAACTGATCTTCTTTGCCAATGTTGCTAGGATCACTTCATGTTGTTTGGGGACCCCCATCCCATCAGTGGAAGGAATGAGACTACCCAAGCTGTTTTCTCTTGTTACAGCAGGGGTCATAAGATGTCTGGCCTGAGTTAATTGGGAGACAAAGTACCCTGTAGTCCTTCCAAGTCCTGGAGTTACTAACCAGTTGCTTCCTTTCCAACTTTTAGAGATTTCCGTTGGTGGCATCCTATATTATTTCCATGGTTTATACTTCTACATTTGGGGGAAGAGAAAGGAAAAAAGAGTCTACATAATCCTGTCCAGTACAAAATTTCCCTAGCTTCAGTTTTATTATCCCTAAACCTACATACCATAAAGTAATGTATCTTTCTAAAACTCTACTCATGTCTCCTTTATAATTAAAAGCCTTTAATAGCTTCCCATCAATTGACCAGTTACATCAAAATCTCCAGAGATACTTCTTAAAATTCAGATTTATAGGTCCTACTCAGACAACTGAATAAGATTCTTTGAGAAAACACAATTTTAATGGTTGTTTAATATATTAACATTATACAAATGACAATAATTATAGGAGGAAGTCAGAAAAACAAAATAAGACTGTTAAACTACTAGTTACTCGTTACTTCTAAATACTGAAATGCTAGATCTTCTTGTTGGATAGACCCTTTAAGTATGATATAGTGTCCCTCTACATTTCTTACTACAGTCTTTGGTTTAAAATCTAATTTGTCTGATATGAGGAAGGCTACCCCAGCTATTTTTGAGGTCCATTAGCATGGTAAATTGTTCTCCATCCCTTCACTTTCAACTTGGAAGTGTCTTTAGGTTCAGAATGAGTCTCTTGTAACTCTTGTGGACCCTGCTTTTTTATCCAATCTGATACCCTGTGTCTTTTGATTGGAACATTCAGCCCATTTACATTCAGAGTAACTACTGAAAGATATGAATTTAGTGCCATTGTATTGTCCGCAAAGTCCCTGTTTCTGTAGATTGACTCTTACTTTCTGGTTTATGTTACTCTGGGTGTCTCTCTTCGCTTACAGTATCCCCCTTAATATTTCTTGCAGGATTGTCATGGTGGTCACATATTCTTTCAGTTTCTGTCTGTCCTGGAAATTCTTTATATTTCCTTCCATTCTGAATGACAGCCTTGCTGGATAAAGTATTCTTGGTTGCATGTTCTTCTCATTTAGTACTTGAATATATTTTGCCAGCCCTTTCTGGCCTACTTGGTTTCTAAATTCTTCAAAGTATAGGGATAGAGGGAACATACCTCAATATCAGAAAAGCCATCTATGAAAAGCCCACGACGAATATCATTCTCAATGGGGAAAAACTGAGAGCTTTTCCCTTAAGGTCAAGAACACAAAAGCGATGCCCACTCTCACCACTATTGTTCAACATAATACTAGAAGTCCTAGCCTCAGCAATCAGACAACAAAAAGAAATAAAATGCATTCAAATGGTGAAGAAGAAATCAAACTCTCACTCTTTGCAGATAACATGATACTTTATGTGGAAAACCCAAAAGACTCCACCCCAAAATTGCTAGAACTCATACAGCAATTCAGCAAAGTGGCAGGATACAAAATCAATGCACAGAAATCAGTTGCATTTCTGTACACTAACAATGAGACAGAAGAAAGAGAAATTAAGGAATCAATCCCATTTACAATTGAACCAAAAAACATAAGATACTTATGAATAAATATAACCAAAGAGGCAAAGGATCTGTACTCTAAAAACTACAGAACATTTATGGAAGAAATTGAGGAAGACACAAAAAGAGATGGAAAAACTTTCCATGTTCATGGATTGGAAGAATAAACATTGCTAAAATGTCTATGCTACCCAGAGCAATCACACATTCAATACAATCCCTATCAAAATATCATTGACATTTTTCACAGAGTTGGAACAAACAATCCTAAAATTTGTATGGAACCAGAAAAGACCCCAAATCATCAGGGGAATGTTGAAAAAGAAAACCAAAGCTGGGGGCATCACAATGCCTGACTTCAAGCTATATTACAAAGCTGTAATCATCAAGACAGCATGGTACTGGCACAAAAACAGACACATAGATCAATGGAACAGACTAAAGATCCCAGAAATGGACCCTCAATTGTATGGTCAACTAATCTTTGACAAAGCAGGAAAGAATATCCTATGGAAAAAAGACAGTCTCTTCAATACATGGTGCTGGGAAAATTGGACAGCCACACGCAGAAGAATGAAACTGGACCATTCTCTCACACTATACACAAAAATAAACTCAAAATGGATGAAAGACCTAAATGTGAGACAGGAATCCATCAAAATCCTAGAGGAGAACACAGGCAGCAACTTCTTCGACCTTGGACACAGCAACTTCTTGCAAGACAAGTCTCTAAAGGCAAGGGAAACAAAAGCAAAAATGAACTATTGGGATTTCATCAAGGTAAAAAGCTTCTTCACAACAAAGGAAACAATCAACAAACCTAAAGGCAACCTATGGAATGGGAGAAAATATTTGCAAATGACATATCAGATAAAAGGCTGGTATCCAAGATCCATAAAGAACTTATGAAACTCAACCCCCAAAAAACAAAGAATCCAGTCAATAAATGGGCAGAAGACATGAACAGACACTTCTCCAAAGAAGACATACAAATGGCTAACAGACCCATTAAAAAATGCTCCACATCACTTATCATCAAGGAAATACAAATCAAAGCCACAATGAGATACTCCATTACACCAGTTAGAATGGCTAAAATTAACAAGACAGGGAATAACAAATACTGGCGAGGATGTGGAGAAAGGGGAACCCTATTACACTGTTGGTGGGAATGCAAACTGGTACAGCCCCTCTGGAAAACAGTATGGAGGTTCCTCAAGACAGTAAAAATACAGCTACCCTATGACCCAGCAATTGCACTACTGGGTAGATACAGATGTAGTGAAAAGAAGGGGCAAATGCACCCCAATGTTCATAGCAGCAATGTCCACAGTAGCCATACTGTGGAAGGAGCTAAGATATCCTTCAACAGATGAATGGATAAAGAAGATGTGGTTCATATATACAATGGAATATTACTCTCAGCCATCAGAAAAGATGAATATCTACCATTTACATCGACATGGATTAAACTGGAGGGAATTATGTTAAGTGAAATAAGTCAATCAGAGAAAGACCATTATTGTATGGTTTCACTCATGTGGAACATAAGGAATAATGCAGAAGACAATAGGGGAAGGGAGGGAAAACTGAATGGGAAGAAATCAGAGAGGGAGACAAACCATATGAGACTCGACTCCAAGAAACAAATAGGGTTTCAGAAAGGGAGGGATTGGGGGGATGGGGTAACTGGGTGATGGGCATTAAGGAGGGTAGGTGATGTGATGAGTACTGGGTGTTATATGCAACTAATGCATCGTTAAACATTATATCAAAAACTAATGATGTACTATACGTTGGATAATTGAATTTAAAGAAAAAAACATATTGAGTGTAAAGCCTTTTACAACCATAAAAAATAAAATACTGAAATGCACTAGTAATAAATAGTAATGTAAATTTCTTAATTTTGATTGAGATATTTATATCAATCACTACCCAATTATATAATGAAATTAGGTAGGATAATTAGATATAAAACATTATGGTATTTTATTATCTTTTTACTGAAGTATAATTAATATATAGTGTTATATTAGTTTCAGGTGTATAATATAATGATTCAACAATTCTATACATTACTCAATGCTCATTATGATGAGTGTACTTCTTAATCCCCTTTATTTCACCTATCGCATTAATTACCTTTGAGTGCTTTTTAAAACTGCAAAAACCTGCTCAAAGATTAGATGGTGTACTGATTACATTTTATTTAAGGTTATATTGGTAATAGATATAAATATTATGACCTCAGAATATGTCCTTTGAGATAATGCAGTCTTATTGAGGTTCAATTTTGCCAACTTTACAAATATCATGACAATTTTCTCAATGGCATTCTTATTAACAACACAGGGGAAAACCCACTTGTTGCTTTAAATGAAAGATTACTTACTGCTCTTTTTCTAGAACACCCTGTAATCCAAGGCACAGTAAGGTTTCCTGAAATCTGTGGAAACAACAAATGGAATTTCAGTAAGGTATGCATTGACACTAGGAATAATGATCAACAGCAAAAAATTCATACAAGATGTCAAGATAGTTCTGCATTCAGAGCATATTCCCCACGTAGACAATGCCATTTCCTTATTGAACACAACAGATATAAAGGGCCTTCCTTTAAAAGTGGTGCAGTTCCCCTGGAAATTCAAGAAAATTTCTGGGCATTGTTGGGGTCTGGAAATATGGTTTATAATTCTGTGGACAAGAAAATTTTTATAGGGTAGCCTGGGTGACTCAGTTGGTTAAGCATCTCCTTTCAGCTCAGGACATGACCTTGGGGTCCTGGGATCAAACCCTGCTTCAGGCTCCCTGCTTCTCCCTCTCCCTCTGCCCCTCCCCCACACTTGTGCTCTCTCTGAAATAAATAAATAAAATCTTAAAAAAAATTTTATAGTAAAAATTCAGTAATCTGTAGAATACATAAGCTACAATAATTAACTGATTAACTACAGTCATCACGCTATATATTAGTTCTCTAGACAGCCTACGTAACTGCAAGTTCCCTTTTAAGCAGAAAGTACTAAGATGAATAGCCAGCAACACCTTATTTCATCAGCATTGGCACACAAGGAGATAAGTGCTACTCCAGTTGGATTCTGGGGACTGTTTACAGAGACCAAGGTGGTCCTGTGAGCTACAGTACAGGGTAGCCTAGATGTAACCATACTTTTTCCTGGGATTCACAAGTTTTAGGGAATACTCCAAATTCTCCTCTTGCCCTCTCCTTCCCTCCCAAACACATACTTCCTGAGAGACTGACAAGTCAAATCAGCCTTGCTAAATGGTGATGCTCAGAATATGATATTCAATTGAACATTTTTTGTTTTTGATAAAATTACATTTAGTAATGACTTATGAATTAGTATTATGTTACTGATAAGGAGTGATAATCACTCAATGCAAATAATAAAGTAATATCCTTAATTATTCAAAATTCAGGTAAATTATTACTGTCCCTGGCCACTAGATCTGAAATTTTATTTTGAGTTCAAAATATACCACCATGCTAGGGATAGGCTAAGAAAAATTAATGATATAAACTCCAAATAATACTTTTAAGGAAAAAAAAATAAAAATAATTTTAGTTGAGTTAAAAATCCCATTACAGTAACATGGCAATAAATTGTAATGCTTGAGGATCATGAAAAGTTTTGAGTAACTGAGTCTTAAAAAATGGTAACTAAAAAAGAATAAATATAAAATGGTAAACTAAGTAATAATGAAATTTTTATGGAAAAAAATTCTTCAAAACCTATACTTTCTTGTCCTCCCATCAGTACTTGGTATATAATATAATGTTTGTAAAGTAAATTGGTTGCTAGCTGAATGAAAGAGCTAAGACTACTACAATAATCACATAATATATGAAAAAATAGAGATATCCAACTTGAGAAAAATAGAGATATCCAACTATTTTGGATTATCTGTGCACATGCTTCCACCTTTTAGTTAGGATAATTTAAAACTGGCTATATATAGTTGCTAAAGAAAACATGTTAAACCAAACTGCACCCCCCCCATAAACCAGTATGTACTAAAAAGTTGCATATAAAATAAAAAATGATACATATAATATACATGGTAATTGAATGTTTTTAAAATTGGGCATTATACATTTTAAGAATATAAAATGTGGTTTTCTGGGGTGCGTGGGTGGTTTAGTCAGTTAAGTGACTCTTGATTTCGGCTCAGTTCACAATCTCTGGGTCGTGGAATTAAGCCCCACATCAGGTTCCACACTCAGGGCAGGCTGCTTGAGATTCTCTCCCTCTGACCCTCCCCCTACTCAAGCTTGCTCTCTAAATAAGTAAATTAATTTTTAAAATGTGGTTTTCTGCTTAAGTCAATTGTATGTAACCAAGAAAACAGAAAACTCCTGTAAGCACATTCACATACAAATGTTATCAATTCCATGTGCATTGGGAAGAGATGAAGTTTCACATTTTTGTTTTATAATTCTGTGACACCAGTTACACAATACTCAAATGCTATATTCAACAACCTTCTCCTGTTTACTTCAAATCTTTTTTCAGTTCCTTATGTTTCTGGTAAAATTCAGGAAAGCCAACCACAGCAGCTGAACTTGTATACTTTTTTGAATAATAATACTGTATAAACATATTTTCTTCAAATTTGGGAAGTTTTGTTTGGTCAATAGTGATGACTTGGTTTCTCCCTCACCAGAAGCTATAAAAATAGTATTTCAAATAAGCAGCATAATATGCTTATCATTTAAATGATATTTAAATTCCAAACACATTTTTCAACACCCTGGTTTGGAAAACTGCAAAATTAATTGACAAAGAGACAAGACTGATTTAACAAATATATTCGAATTTACACATCCAAATGAGTACTGTATGTTTCAAAGTAGAAAACTTAGGAAGCTATAAAGTCATTACAATGATGTTGCCATTGTTGAAAACATTTTGGGAACTTTTCTTTTGGAGTTGGCAGTTCATAACACCCAGAGACTCTGTCTCATTATTTTGTATTCCCTTTAACTGAAAATATAAAAGCCGAAATTGAACATCAATATTATTCACTAAGTGTAGCTCAGCATAAATTATATTTTCCAAAATCAAATTCTCCCTCAAATGATGAAGATTTGCTACCAATAAAAGCATTTTAAAAAATCTCACAGGCCCTTAAACAAATTGTAAAAGAACTTTAATAACTTTTTGAAAAATTAAACATTATTGAGATTAGATAATTTTCCAAAGTAACTAACTGAATTCTGTTCAAATATTTATCAGGCATCTCTTCTTAAGTAGGTGCTGTTTTAGGTGCTATAGGAAATAAAAAAGATGTGTAAAACATAATTTCCTGGAGGGCATGAATTATGATATAAGAGGGAAAGATAAGAAAGGAACATGAACGACTTTAATGTAAGAATATTATGATAAGTGTCATAAGAAAGGAACAACAAATGAAAGGAGTTCAAGATACGGCAAAATTACATCAAACTTGAAGATTTATATCTTAGCTGAACCTTAAAAAATGAGCAGAATTTTGATAGAAATAACAAAGAGCATTACAGGGGAAAAGAATGGCATGAGCACAGTGGAATAAAAGGATAAGATGTGTCTGGGCATGTCAGTTCAACTAGAACTCAAAATGGAATTGGGGTTACTTTGTGGAGGCCATGAATACCAAAGTACATTTACGTCTAATTCAGTGGAAAATAGGGAACCACTGAAAGTTTTTAAGAAAATGAGTTGTATGGTCAGAATATATTTTTATACATTAAGATGACTGATTTGACTCAATGTGTACAGTAAAATGAATAAGCATGGTAACTTATTTTTTTTTTTAGTATGGAAACTTACAATAGTTTAGGCAAGAGGCAATCCAGGCTTGGAACAAAGTTAGGGGAGTAGTAATTCAGAAGAGGAATATAAAATACATTTCAAAAGACAGGTCTTGTGCATGAGATTGAAGAGAACTAGACAGTCTGGAAATTACTGGAATAGTTTTTTTTTTTGTTTTTTTTTTTTTATGGCCCTCATAAGACTGCCTCTCCAAATGGCTGGCCTGCTCAAACAAATAGAGAGTTGGAGAGTCACAATTTTGGTTGTGAATGCAAGGAAGTGCCTAATGTTGGAAATCTGCTTCTCATGGTTAAAAGTGGATACACCAAAGGAAGTAATACACTTATTTGGATGTAAACCGGAGTCACATCATATGGAGAATTAAGGTTTGTGAACCAAACTATAACATACATACCTTTCTCATGGAAAATTATATTTAACATAGGTACTATATATCAGAATATTAATTATACATTATATGTATACATATTACTGTACATGAGTATACATTCACAGGAGAGCATGTATATAGTTACTTTCATAGATGATTTAAGGGATTTTAAAAGCAATTTTTACTACATTTCATTTTACAATATTTAGACCCTACATATGACCATACATATGACTCTGCTATAACTTTCTGTTAGACTATGAGATTCTTAAGGGCAAGGTATCATGTTTAAAACAATTTAGTATAATTATTTGTATATAGTCACACACGAATATATACAAAAAAAGCATTTATTTGATTTTAAAAGTCTTTCTGTTATAAAGACAATTCTAAGGGCGCCTGGGTGGCTCAGTCAGTTAAGCATCCAACTCTTGATTTAGGCTCAGGTCAGGATCTCAGGGTTGTGAGATCAAGCCCTGCATCAGGCTCCATGAGTCTCCTTCAGATTCTCTCCTTATCCCTCTATTCCATCTCCCTCTTTTTCCTTCTCTCTCTCTAAAAAAAAAAAAAAAAAAAAAGACAATTCTACACATATGCTGGATAGTCTATTTAAAAATGGATTAACTGAAATAATCAGACAATAACCATATCTATCAGCAAAATTTAGCAATAACAGATTCATAAACCAATATTTTAGCTTTCCATCAGTTGTTTTGATATCAGTTGAACAATAACACCTATCAATCATTCTGCTTTAATCAGCAGAGCTTCCCAGATGTTTTAAAATTATAAGGTATAGAATGTAGAAGACGCTGCTAGGCATGTGGTAGGCGATCAGTAAATATATGTTGATTGCTTGATTGAATTAACATGCACCATCACTATACACTAGCTTCACTTGCTAAAATTCAACAAAAGGCCAAGAGTGGAAATGTACTAAAGACCATTACATGGGGGTAGGCATTTGGGAGGAGGGAAAAACTAACTTCTGGTAGAGAACAATGTGTTCTGGAGCAAAGAAGAAAAGATGTACTGGCTTATTTAAAAAAAAAACTTCCCTCTCATCTCTTTACCAAGTATGGAAAAGCTTTCAGAAATAAAATAAGCAGTATCTACTGCAAAGGGAGTCCAGCAGGCAGAAGGCCATTACCCTTGGGGGTGTGAACCTGCGCTAATGAATGAGCCTATCTGTTCTCTGCCAGCCTGATGTGGTCAAACCCACAGGCTGTCCTGTTCACGGGAGAA